ACTAAACTTCACGACAACATGGATGGAACTAGAGAGCATTATGCTAAGTGAAATAAGCCAGGGGGCGAAAGACAAATACCATATGATCTCACCTATAAGTGGAACCTAACCAACATTACAAAGATGCAAGGAAAATAAGACCAGCAACACTGAAAGGAAAAGAAACCAACAGAGACAAGAGGGAGGAAGGGAGCAGGGGCAGGGGAAAAGGAAGGGAAGGGGAAAGTCAAGGAACATATAGCAAGGACTCATGGACAAAACCAAAGGGTTGAGGAGCCAACAAAGGGAAGAGTTGAGGGAGGGAGGAAGGGAGGGGCCAAGGGAAAGTGGTGGGGGGTAGGCAGAGACAAATGTATTTGAAAAAATAAATTAATTAATTTTAAAAAAAGAAAAAAGAAAAATAAAGGGAGATTTAGGCCTCTTTTTGGCTCCTAAGAAGCCAAGCTGATGGTCTGAAAAAAAAAAAAAAGTACATTCTGTAATATAAACAACAAACCCGACTCTGTGTGTCGGTGAAACTACTTTTTGAATTCATCATGTATCTTTCAGTAGAACGAGTCACATTCGATCTTTTAACATTAGTACCTCAAGGTCAATCACAGATAACAGATTAGAGATTTCTCAGGTCTTCACTGGACCCATGCCTTGTCATTTACATGTGTGTGGTTTTCTAGCATAGGAATACTTTAGAACCTTGAACAACTCTGTGTGGTCATTTTATTGCCCAAGTTTGCCTTTTAAGTTTTTTATAAAAAATATTATTATTTATTTGTTTTTGGAGAAAGGGGAAGGGAGGGAGAGAGGGAGAGAAGCATTGATGTGAGAGAGAAACATCAATCAGTTGCCTACTATAGTTGCCCTGACTGGGGACAGAACCAGCAACCCAGGCACATGCCCTGCGGGGAATTGAACCTGTGACCTTTTGCTTTGAGGCACAACACTCAACCAACTGAGCCACACCAGTCAGTGCTTTTAAGTTTTTTGGTCAGTCTCTTGCTAGTTCCAACTCTCATCCCTGCTTCAAGAAGTTGCTATGTTAAACAATTTCTATTGATTGTTTTGACAAATAGCCCAGGGAAAAGACTGTTCACAATGAATGAATTTTGAGTCAGGCCAAATAAAGATGTACCCCATGAGAAAGAATTTCCTGAGAGCTTCTGGATAGATTAAATAAGAACAGTTGTCTGAGACTGTATCTTTAAGATACTATTAGTTCTCATCCCAGGGGAATTGGAGTTGTAAGAAAAACATAAATATCTTCTACTCAGCATAATAAAGGACATGCCAAGAAAATATTAAAGGAGTGTTCTTAGAGATTTAGAGACCAAGGTAAGACAAAGGTAAGTTGTATTATGGTTAGGTTGTAAAAAATAGCAAAAGAGAGTAGGGAGAGAGGGAGTGAAAATAAGGAAAATGAGATGAAGAGAGAATGTGCACTTATCAGCTCCTGAAATTACACTTTTACCTACCTGTACTTATACCTGTGACTGTGCATAATCTCACACACAGAATGAAAAGGTAAAAGCCAATATGAAAAGTGATGCACCAATATACCCAGAATCAATGTGGGTGTCATTTCTGACCTAGCATGTAGGCACATAGATATGAATAAAAAGAGGAAGAACAAGGGCTAGTTTTCTCTATTTTCTAGAATTGTGTTAGGTATAGTAAAGGTGATCAATAAATGCTTAGAATGATGAGGTCATGAATAAGTGAGTCATGAAACACTGCCCTGACAGATAGACTTTTGTGAAAACAAAATCTAGGGCTAGGATGTTGAAGCATCTGAAAAAAAGATGGCCTTGAGACTGCAGATTAAACAAGGATGAGAAAGAATACATTATATCTTCCTTTTATGATCATCTGTTACAGGAAATGGGAATGTGGTCATTTGAAAGTGGTAGAGGTTGGTGGAATAACAGAGAGTAAGAAGATGCCACATTGAGGAAATGACTGCTAGATAGCTGGATATAATCCCAGGTAGCACCTAAGAGGTAGGAGGTCAAATGAGGGGCAGGGACCAAGTCTTATTTCTAAACCCATCAGAGACTGGGAGGTATATGAATATAAATTGACATAATAGGTCAGTACATATTATGGAATGATTAGTGATTGGTTGCTTTATAAATGTTTACCAATTGGAAATGTTCTCTCAGAGAGGAGGGAAGCACCAATTTTCAAGCCCTCCTAAAAAGTTGACATAAATAAATGGGGTAAGTTGATTTCCTTGGGATGTAACCGTATTTTACGTTAGAAGTTTCTGCTGTCTGAAACATCAAGAGTGACCAAGACACCAGACAATTAAGAGTCTGGTCATCAATCTACTAAATTTATAGATAAAGTCATAGAGAGGATGACAGATTCCCTTTTTATGTCTTGACTGGTCACTGTGCTTTTATTATCACTTTGTCCTTGCTCTTCATTCCATCTAGTATAAAGTTTATTTTCTTCTTTGTCTTAATATTAGCCTGATCTCTTCCCTAGAATTTTTCCTGACCCACCTCTCCACCTACAACATTCTTTGTATACTTCTACATGGTACTTAATACATTTTTCAAATTTCATCTTTAAAATTTTTTTCTCATTTACTACTCAGTCATCTCCTCAAGGGTATGTGACCAGTTTTATTCAAAACTGTATTCAAATTGCTAAATAAATGCTGATACATAAAGGAATCACTTCTCCACTTCAGTTATATATTCTTCACTAATAAAAAAGAGAATACTATCTTTGATAATTTTCAAATTACAAAATTGAGAACTTTCAGTTATCTTTTCTCCAACCCTAGCAGGCCAACTCTACACACATACAGCCATATACACAATATATATTTCCTGAGTTTTCCAAATTGTAAAATCATCTCTTACTTTTGCTGTCCTTCATAGGTTTCAAATGGGCACAGTTAGAAAGGCATTTCCTTGGCATGAGTTTAAAGGAGGATGTACTTACGGCCATATGCATTTATCTCTAATGGAAGGCTCTCAGCTCTGACTTCCTCCAGCATCCAAGTATCTCTAAATTTGAATCAAAGCTTTCTGCACAATTGTACACATTACATGCAATATCTGTCCCATCTTCTGTATGAATAGTTTTCCCAAATAAGTTATACAGCAATAAACTTCTCCCTGTTTGCTTCAAATGTTTACTATAAGTTCAGAATTTCCACATATTCTGAATGAGTGCTATAACACAAAATCACATGATAATTCCTCTTTTCATGTTTCTCAGAGGAAGCCATGCATAATGACCTGAGAACTAAAATAGAATCTTTGTAGGAATTAAATTTTAGGATATCCCAAATGCTTCTTCCCTCTCCTCATGAATAGAGTTGCCTAGCCCAGAATATTTAGTCTCCCTTCCCATCTGACTTATATCTGAACAGTTTCTTTACTGGATGTGATTACTTATGCACCCTCTAAATTGCAGGCTTATTTAGATTAAGGTAATCTCTCAATTCATGTTTCACCATAACTGCAAAATATTCTTTGTCAATTATCTCTCCTTATTATTATCCATTTTCTAACTCTGATGGTAATTTTTTTCCAGAAACAAATTATGGTCTAAACTGTTATTAATTTTATAAAATGTGACATTGAAATTGCTTGCTGTCTTGTCTTTTCTTAGTCAATTAATCTACTTATGAACTTTTAAAGTTGAGAACTTGTATGTGGCAGAATTTTTTTCAGGCATATGGTAAACAAAGATAAATTGTTTATTCTTTTTAAAGAGCCAGGCCATCTAGTATTCACAGAATCACATAAAAATGCATAAACATACAAACACATGCACCAACACACATAGTAATATGCACTTTACATTTTGGGGTTTTTAGATATCCTAATAGAAGAATAGTTCAGCCTACTAATACCAACAAAAACTTAATGCACGTTAAACAAAAATATGTCGAATACTATCAAATATGGAATTTATTCTTTCTATTTATTTCTGGCTATGCTCCAGAGTTCGAATCTCCATTATGCTGAGGAGGGTACTCTTCTGCCTGCTCTTCTTTATATTAGATTTTTATTTTATTAAAAAATGTGGTATCAGGGTAGCTTGGCTTTATTCTTATTTCCATATGATGATCAGGAGAGGTTAGCAGAACATGAGAAGTGTATTTAATCTTTTTCCTTTTTTTTGTTTTTTAAAAAAAGAATTGAGATATAATTGACACCTACTGTTATGTAAGTTCAAGGTATAGAATACACTGATTTAATATATTTCTATATTACAATATGATTATCATCATAATTTTAGCTATCATTCCTGTCACATCATATAAGTAGTATTCCTTTTTTTCTGATCAGAACATTTAAGATTAGTCCATCAAAAAATTTTAAGTATAAAAAGTGTTGTTGAAAAAAATAATTATTTAATCTCCTTTCTTAATAGGAACAAAAAGGGATTAAAATGTTCTTTTGTGTTTTGTCAGGAATCTGGACAAATGGATAGAAAAGCAGGAGTCACTAATGGGAAGTCAATTGTTTTGCATAGGCTCAATAGCTAAGTTTGTGGCCTCTGATTTTAGAATGAAATATAGGTATATCCACTGTCAAATATATATACATATAAATATATACACATAATGCATATATAAATGGTCCTCGATTGTTCCAATAAGAGAATGGATTGGATTCTATAAACTAAAGTATATTTTATGTACATTAAATTCAATGCATATAACACCACAAGATACAAAAACAAATCCTTTATTATTTCTGCTCCTTTGAATATCAACTTGATGGATATTGTTCTCCTGCCTGTCTTGTTCAACCTTTTATGAATGTTATTCATGTGGGGAAGAGAGACCGCCTTGATTTCTAGTATCACCTGATGTTCAGGCAACGATTGCAGAAAAGTTTTGATAACATTGAATGGGAGAACATGACAATTACAAAGTTATTTTACATTTTGTCAGGAGACTGGAAAAAACGGAATTGGAGCAAGAATCACGAATGAAAGTCAAGAATTGTCTCTGATAAGTACAATAGCCAACTGTGGCAGAAAGAATGTCTATGCCTAATGACACGCGGCTCCATCCTGCCTCATTCCTTTTGCTGGGCATTCCAGGGCTGGAAGGTGCACATGTTTGGATTGGATTTCCCTTTTTCTTCGTGTATCTTGTTGCTCTCCTGGGGAATGCTGCTGTCCTGTTTGTCATCCAGACTGAGCATAGTCTCCATGAGCCCATGTACTGCTTCCTGGCAATATTGGACTCCATCGACCTGTGCCTCTCCACAGCCACCATCCCCAAAATGCTGGGCATCTTCTGGTTCAGCCTCAGGAAAATATCTTTTGAAAGCTGTCTTACTCAGATGTTCTTCATTCACTTCTTTACTGCTATGGAGAGCATTGTGTTGGTGGCCATGGCCTTTGACCGCTACATTGCCATTTGTAAACCTCTCCAGTATGCCATGATCCTCACCAGCAAAGTCATCGGCATTATCACAGGCATTGCCATTCTGCGGAGCCTGTGCATGGTGGCCCCACTGGTGTTTCTTCTCCTGAGGCTGCCCTTCTGTGGGCATCATGTCATACCTCATACCTACTGTGAGCACATGGGCATTGCCCGCCTTGCCTGTGCCAGCATTAAAGTGAATATATTGTTTGGCCTTGGCAACATTTCTCTCTTATTATTGGATGTGCTTCTAATTATTCTCTCCTATGCCAGGATCCTCTATGCAGTCTATTGCCTGCCTTCCCAGGAGGCTCGACTCAAAGCTCTCAACACCTGTGGCTCCCACATTGGCGTTATCTTAGCCTTTTTTACACCTGCTTTTTTCTCTTTCTTGACACACCGCTTTGGCCACAATATTCCTCGATATGCCCACATTTTCTTGGCCAACCTATATGTGGTTATCCCACCAGCCCTCAATCCTGTAATCTATGGGTTCAGAACCAAGCAGATTAGGGAGTGCGTTTTGAGGATATTTTTTAAAAGATAGTTAAACATTGGTGGTATTAGAATGACTTAAAGTTCATATTTTCTCCACCTGCTCATTAGAAGAGTTAAAAGGGAGAGAGGGTGCAAAGTCAAATAATTCTTTGAGTGAAAGGATAATTTCTATAATCATTTGACTTTAAGGATAATAATAAATGTAGTGATCATAATATTATAAATTTAAGCTTTGCATCTCTATAAAGTGCTTTTATTTATATTGTTTGGTAATCAAGATAGCCTTATAGTGTAGTTAGTATAGTCAGAAATTCTCAGATGATAAGCTGATGTTTTGGATTGTTAAATGAGTCACCTGAAAATTCAGTTGTTAGTAAGAGGTAGATTATTTAGTAGGAGAGTTTTTAAATTGGACTAGTTTGTAAATCACCAGAGGAAATATCAGAGCAACAGAATATTTGTTCAGGGATTGCAGAAAGTTTTGGTAACAGGGTTACCAAAATAATTAGTGACATTATTTAACTCATTAGCATATACTCTTTTAAAAAATTACTTAACACATCTATTTTTATGTAAATTCTATAATGTGGATACTCTTAATTTGCATTTTCATGTGCATAAACTGTGGGTCAGAAAATTTTCCATAACAAATTATGATCAAGATTTTGGTTCCTGGCACCTAAAGAAACAGAAGATGGTATATACTTAGAAATAAAATAAGGTGAGCAGGGAATAAAGATGCAAAATAATAAAAGATATATTTCTTAAGTAAATGTTCATGAAGTTTACATGTGCTAAGCTGACATGGCTGTTTGGTGACAACCTGATGAAAAGACAGAATTGTATGTCATAAGAAGAATAAGGGGGGAAGAAGAGGAAGGATCGTCAAGGACCATGTATAGAGCAACCATGGTAATGGACAACAGTGTGAGGACTGACCGAGGGACAGGGGGTGGGTGGGGCAGAGGACACCAACAGGGGAAAAAGTAGGACAACTGTAATTGGACAACAATAAAAAAAGAAAAAAACTTGGTGGGGGAATTAAGCTGCTAAGACTAAAAATGTTATGCTCTAGGTTTGCATATTAATTTATATTTGGGGGGAACATTTTAGAAACTTTGTAATAATATTCAATAGATATTCCAAATACTGGGCCAATATATTGAAGACAGCAACACAAAAGTAGAAATGTGTTTGCCTTCTTTTCACTTTCTAAAATAATCATGTGGAAAATTACGGACCTAGTCCGTAAAGGATGTGTTATTTGAAACTACATACAAGAGAGTCTTCCAGAGTTATGTTACTTCTTTTACTTCACTTAAAACCTCTGATTTTTACCAGTTTATAAGTACAGAAATTCTAATGCATGGCCAGAAAATGTCATAAAAATAAAAATATTAGATATTGCCTGCAAAATCTTATAGTTAAATCTAGTAAAATATTGTAAATAGAACAGCGTTGATATTTATGTATCATATTTCCTTAAAAAAATCCATAGACTACAGGGTTTTTTTTCTATTTAGAAAATCTAATAGACCAATATCTAATAAACAGACATCAGACAAATTAAGTCAGGCTAGCCTGTGTATTCAAATCCTCCGGACTTTAGATAAGGTCAGAAAGCTTTATTCATCAAAATAGATAGCAAAGGAGTTTAGTTATTAGAACATTTACAAATAAAAATAATATGATATTCAGATGTAAGTAAATATAAAAATTAATAATATTTTCTACAGCAATGTGAGTCTTTTGATAAAATAATCACAGTAAGGGTTTTCTGATGACTCTTGAGAAAAAATATACAACTTGCAAAGATTTGTCCATTTTTTAATATTAGTTTTGTATCCTGGAACTTTAGTGAATTCATTTATTAGGTCTAAGAGTTTTCTTTTTTTTTGGTGTGGAACCTTCGAGTTTTCTATATATAGTGTCATGTTATCTGTAACTAGTGAAAATTTTGCTTCTTCCTTTCCAGTTTGGATCTCTTTTAATTTTTTTTCTTGTGCATTGCTAAGGCTAGGGCTTTCAATACTATGTTGTACAAGAGTAGTGAAAAAAGCACTTCTGTCTTGTTCCTGATGTTAGATAAAAAGCTTTCATGTTTTCACCATTGAGGGTGATGTTGGCTGTGACTTTGTCATATATGGCCTTTATTATGTTAAGGTACTTTCCTTGTATACCCACACTGTTGAAAGTTTTTATCATAAAAAGATGTTAAATTTTTCAAATGCTTTTTCTGTACTATTGAGAGAATCATATTATTTTTATCTTTCATTTTGTTTATGTGGTGTATCATGTATATTGATTTGTAGATATTGAACCATCCTTCTATTGCTGGAATAAATCCTCCTGGATCATGGTGTATGATCTTAATGTGTTGCTAAATTTGGTTGGCTAATATTTTGTTGAGGATATTTGCATCTGTGTATATCAGGGATATTGGCCTGTAATTTTCATTTTTGTAGTGTGTCCAATATTGATAGAAGAGTAATGCTGGTTTTCTAGAATGAGTTTGTGAGCCTTTTCTTCTTTATAATTAGTTTGGATAATTTGAGAAACATAGGACTCAATTATTATATGGATACTTGGTAGAATTCATCAGTAAAGCAGCCTGGTCCTGAACTCTTCTTGTTCATAATTTTTGAGTATTGATTCAATTTCTTTTATTTTTTCTTTTTAAAATTGAATTTACTTGGGTGACATTGGTTCACACCACACAACTTTCAAGTGTACATCTCAATAAAACATCATCTGCACACTGCATCGTACACTCATTACCCCAAGCAAAGTCTCCTTCAGTCCTCATCCCCACTCCCTTTGCCAGTCTCCACCTAGACACCACCCTACTTTCCCTCTGGCTATCATCACACTGTTGTCTTTATCTATGTGTTATTTATATATGTATGTGTATATACACATACATGTATATAAATGTTATATATGCATATATGTATTATATGTTATATACATATAAATAACATTTATATATAAATAAAACATATCCATATACACATATATATGATTTTTGGCTCATCCCTTCACCTTTCATCCCGTTCCTCCTCCCCCTTCCCCTCTGACAGCTGTCAGTCTGTTCCATGTATTCATGACTTTGTTTCCATTTTGTTCATCGGTGTATTTTGTTCATTAGATTTCACATACAAGTGAGTTCATATGGTATTTGTCTTTCTCAATTGGCTTACTTCACTTAGCATATAGTCTCCAAGTCCATCCATGCTGTTGCAAAGGTAAGATTTCTTTCTTTTTTATGGATACATAGTATTCTATCGTGTAAATATACCATAGCTTTTTTAATCCACTCATCTATTGATGAGTATGTGGGCTGTTTCCAGGTCTTGGCTATTGTACATAACACAGTAGTGAACGTAGGGGTGCATATATACTTTTGAATTAGTGTTATGGGTTTCTTAGGATATATTCCCAGAAGTGGGACTGCTGGGTCAAAAGGCAGTTTCATTTTTTAACTTTTTGAGGAAACCCCATACTGTGTTCCACAGTGGCTGCACCAGGCTGCAATCCCATCAACAGTGCATGAGGATTACATTTTCTCCACATTCTCACCAGCACCTTTTGTTTGCTAATTTATTGATGATAACCATTGTAGCAGAGGTAAGGTGATATATCATTATGGTTTTTTAAACAAATTTTATTTATTTAGTTATTTTTAAAAATCATGTTTATTCTATTACAGTTGTCTCAGTTTTTCCTCTTTTGCCCTCCTCCACCCACTCCCCAACCCCTCCCAGGCTCCCACCCCCTTTCTCTTTCTCTTTTCCTCTCAATAGAGGCAGAGATAGATTGATTAAAATCTAAATAGATTTATATTTATATGTATCTTGCAGTATTGCATAAATATACACCTACAAACAGACCAGTTCACTTTGAACAATAAGTTACTTTTGGGGAGATTTGCATTTACATGATGACCCTGGGAAAATTCCTTGCAGAGTTTCTCCAAGTTCTTTTTATAAAACCATTAAAATGTCATGCACGGTTTTATATTTATATTTATATGACATTAGAGTCTGGTATATAATAAAGTATCAATACCATTGTGGATAAAAGTAACTAAGCAAGTAAGAAAAGAATGAATGAATCTATTGCAGATATTAAAAGCCTGTAGCCTTGCAGTAGAGATGTGTATAAATTTGATAATGTGGCCAGTAGAATTGATTATCTGCAAATAAAAAGAAGCATTTTATTTCACACAATCCTATCTGTAAAAATCTGCTCTGTAGGGGCTCTATAAGAAATTAATCATGATAAAACCTTATAACTAGGTTGTTCAAAACTTTTAGGTATTCCATAAATTTTCACAGTGACTGTTTTGCTATTAATCACATTATATGTTTTAGATGGGCTATCTAGGGGAATTATAAATAAAATAATACTAAGGTCAGAGTATTTTTTGTTGCAAGATTCTGTAATTGAGAAAGACATTGCCTTTTCCCTATTTTACAGTGAATATCTCTGAGACAGTTTATGTCTATCTTTTTTTCAAGAAGATGCTTGAGATTTGCCCTCTAATCTGCTTAGTCCTCACTCCATAGATGACAGGATTAAGGGCCGGTGGAACAACAACATATAAATTGGCCAGGAGAATGTGAATGTATACAGGGACATTCCTGCCAAACCGGTGGGTCATGAAGGAGAAAAAAGCTGGAGTGAAGAAGGCTAGAATAACACAGATGTGGGAACCACACGTATTAAGTGCCTTGAGTCTGGCATCCCGAGACGGAAGGCAGAAGACAGCTCGGAGTATTCTCACATAGGAGATCACAATCAGAACCACATCAATAAACACCATTGATATGAGAATTAATCCAAATATCTTGTTTACCTTTATATTGGCACAGGCCAGCCGAGCAATTCCCATGTGCTCACAGTATGTGTGGGGGATGATACGATGTCCACAGAAGGGAAGCCTCAAGATGAGAAACACCAGAGGGATAACCAAAATGAAATTGACACCAACCACCACCACAAAAATGAGGCCAAGAGTTCTGTTAGTGAGAATCAGACTGTACTGCAGAGGGTTGCAGATGGCAACATAGCGATCAAAGGCCATGGCAACCAAGACGACAGTCTCCATAGCAGTGAATATATGAATGAAGAACATCTGGGTGACACAACCCTCAAAGCTAATCTCTTTTAAACTAAACCAGAATATGCCTAACATCTTGGGGACAGTAGATGTGGAGAGGCCCAGATCAATGGAGGCTAACATAGCCAGGAGATAAAACATGGGCTGATGAAGACTGTGTTCATTCTTGATCACAAACAGGATAGTGATGTTCCCCAAAAGGGCAATCAAGTATACTGAACAAAAGGGAAACCCAATCCAAATGTGCATCTCTTCAAGGCCTGGAACTCCCAGCAGGAGGAAAGAGGAGGGGTGTAACTTGGTGTAATTTGATGGGGACATTCTCTCTCTGTTCTTTTGGAATCAGATAGAAAAACAGAACAAATTAAACAATTTAAAAAGCCAAACTACATTAAATAAAAGAATATAATAAATTTGGAGCAGAATATTATGAAAATTATATGTCATCCTTCAAAGTATGGATTCATTTAGACATTCAAAAAGTTAACAATTATGCTAAGTAAAAGAAAGAAATCAGATGAAATCTCTGACTTTTTAATATTAAATATTGCTTAAAATATGAATACAGTATATATGTGTATAGATAGGTAAATATAGGTAAAGCTATAGGAGATATAAGTGCTAACAAAGTGACATCTAAGCAGATACATAAACGCATTATGGGGATGATTTGGTGTAAGTTAATCATTGAGTATCTTGAAGACATGGGTTGACACTTCAATCTGAATTCTACAAGAAATATTTCTTTAGTCCTCTGGAGTGTGAAGAGAAGTGGTGCAAGTTGCTCTTCTTAAATAAGTTGTGAAACAAGGGCTTTAGGAAAGTTAGTAACACTCTTTCTGGGGGAACAGAAAGCAAGTCTATGAGGAGGAGTAAAGAAGAAAACCAAACTCTTCCTCATTTTACCTCCTTCTCCTGTGATACATGGCTAGTGTGGTAAGTTGGAGTTAGGGGTACTGCTCCTTGAGAGGTTCCTTTAGCTAAGTGAGACTCAGGTAGGACGGACAGAGCAAGGAAGAAACTATTTCCAAGGGCTTTCTCAAATTTTCTTTTGAAATTTCTATAGCAGTTACTCTAAAATTTCTAGATAGAAAGAAAATGTACTTTAAAAAAAACTCTGTTTCACTGATGCTTTTAAAGTCTTGAAATTATGGAGAGATAAAGTAAGAGAATTTTACCCTACCAAGGACATTCAAACAAGACCTACTTTATATTCCTGTGTTTCTCACAGCTTCGGTTTCAGGGGTTTCTTGTTTGTCACTTATTTCTCAAACCTCATTTCTGGTGTCTCACTGCCAGAGCTCAGTCTTGCGTAGCATCACCTGTGTTAGCCATGACCATGAGCCATTTAGGTTTAGACTACAGCAGTTTCTCTCCTGACTTCATTTTATTTGTCATGCCTACAAAGGAACTTTTATATTTGTGCTGCAATTGGCTTTCACCCCTGAGCTCATCTCCTACAGGACCATTAAACTCCAGGGTCTGGAATGTTCCTCTCCCTGAAAGAAAACAGTTAATCCTCCTGTGACTGTGTTTCCGAACAATGGGACGTATGGCTACCATTTTTCATTATTAGCCTCCACTCTGACCCTCCCCACAGACTCCAATCCCTGAGTTTCACCTTTGGTTAAGCTACATTAAACTCTTAAAAGATGTTGGCTTTGGTTTATAATAACAAAAGTGAGATAATATAATTGGAAATGTATCATATATACTGCAGAAATGATGAGTATAAAAATAATGCTAACGTTATGGCATACAAAAGTGGTCTGGAATAGCAGTGTGTCAGTGAGCACTAAGGCCTTCTGAGATATTCCTAATTTGGATGAAGTAAGGGGAAATGGCCAGAGAGTACACATGCCAAATATTCTAGAATTGTGTTAATTAGTGGAATTTCACGGAGATTGGAGCAGTAGCAGATATTTAGGTCATTACATATTACATTTTGGACTCATACACAGAGGTCCAGCCTTTCTTTACCCGTGACTCAAAACCATGTCAGAATTCTGAACTCAGATATTCCTTCTCATGCTATCTGAGCTCAACGTCCATTTGGTTCTGACCAATATATATTAGGTTCCAATGGTTGAGGCTACACCACTGATGAGCAGGTTTACCAAAGTAGGACAATAGAATAATTGGTGTAAAGAGGCCTGAAATCCTCCCATACATAAGTGGATATAGATTAATAAAAGCAATGTAAAAATCTGAGAAGTCAATGAGAAATGGGAGAATAAGACAAGGGAAAGGAACAGCCGAGAACGAAATAATTTACTACCATATGTGACATGGTCAACTGTTACCATGATCCACCTTCTCAACGTTCTTCCAGTATTTAATTTATGACCCATCTGCATCCAGTTTTCGTGGTATTCTATAGGAAACCAACTGCCTCTCTGAGTGACCAACCTGCAGGAAATCTGAAAGATTAACCCTTACTTATCAGTCTAACCACTTACCTCCAAGGAATAGTCTCTATTTGTTACACTCAATTTCATCGGAAACCCAGGCATTTAAATACAGAAGGCTGAGATTTGACACTTTTGAAGATGACACTGGTCATTGGTGAAGAACGTACTTGTAAACATTGCCAAGGCGAATTTTATAAGGAATGACTTTATTCAGAGTGTTTGTATCACTAAGAAAGTGGTTCATTTAATTCTTCAGGGGAATCAGTCACTGAGAACAAACAATTTGTCTTTATGACAACCTTTACCATGTTCTCTTGCTCCCAGACCTGGGGAAGATATGGCATGCAATGACAATTACACAAGGTTTGGATAGCCTAATGGAAATTATCTATCTTTCCAATGCTTGAACTGGTATGCAGTGGAGTCTATGGTTGGAAGTCAGTATCTCTGCTTTGTCATTCAAGTCATAACTCTAGGGTTCCAGGGAGACCTTTGTCCTGTGGTTCAGTCAGGGTCACATCCATGGAATAACTGCTTAACAATTCTAGTCTCATAAGGGTAGAGTACAATTGTGTGAATATTCACTGTCCTCACTTTCCTGATGGTTCACAGTCTCCCTTAATATCCTCTGTATGCCGTTAACTGATTGGTGCATGAGAAACAAACCCTTTAACAATCATGGGAAGAGCCCCTGCATCCCAGTGTTTTTGTCATAAAACAGGGCCGAGAATACAGTAATCTTGCTCATCATGCTTGTCTCGTTAATCAGAGAAGCTCAGCTATTAGTTCAGTGAACTCATGTGGTTCCTCTTTGAATCATCAACTTCATGATGGGGAGGAGATGGGAAATCACAGTCAAGTGGTCACATGTACCAGACACTGTGAGCCTCTCTCTCCTCATTCCCGTTCAATTAGGTGAATATTATTCCAGCCATAGTGTGCTAAGAGTGAGCCTCTCAGTCTCAGGATGAGTCAGGAAATTCACTTGTTTGTTTCACTTTGCTACGTACAGCACAGAACAATGATTTGCAACTGGTGTGCTGCAAGAATTTTTAAAACATGATTACCTATCCATTTTGTCAGGGTCACTAACCTCCTTTCCCTTAGATTGTCAAATTTAAAAATGACAACAGTCAACAAAACAATAGCCATCTGTTGTAAATAAGTCAAAATTATACTTTTTTCTATTTTGTTATTTTTGGGCAGATGCTTAGCTCATTGAACAAATTGTGCCAGACGGCACACTAACCAGGCTTTTAGCAAGAAAATTTATTGGACGACACTTAAAAAGAAAGAAGTAGTAACAGCAGTGCAGGCTTTTTTTTTCCCTGTCAATTGTACTCTGGGGTAATATACAGATATTTTGTGAGGCCAGTTGTCAGCCTCTATGAAAAGAGCCCTGACTCTTGGGCTTTGGAACTTTATTTTAAATCATCCAACCCTTTCCTGGAATAAGTAGGGACTGGTATCCAAGACAATAAGGTGAGCTAGAACATTGGCTTCTCACTTTATTCTACCATCCCATGTTCATTATTGAAGGAATAATGATGAGAGTGATTAAGGGACTGGGCTCTAAATGCAGTTGATACAACAATGTGTCATGTGAGAGTCTTGGCCACTCACCAATTCCAGCCCCTCAGTTTTCAGGGGATGAGAATAAAACATTTTTGAAAAATTATGGCATAAAAACCAAAATAAATAAACTATTAAAATTGATTCATCCAAATAAAAACAAATTGCTGTTTAAATATCATTGTTTCAAAAAGAAAAGAAAAAGACTTGATTGGGGCAATACTTTCACAAAGCTATATTGGACCAAGGACTTGAATCTAGAATATATAAAAAACTGCATAATTAATAATAAAAATTCAAATAACCCAATGTAAAAATGACAAAAATTTTAAACAGACACCAAAAACAGAGATAAACAGATGACAAATAAGCAGATTAAGATGTTTAATGTATAAAGCACCTGTGGACAAAGCCAAAGTGGGGGAGGGTTGAGAGTGGGAGGTGGGAATGGGGGGCAGGGGAAAGTGGTGGCAGGAAAACGGAGGAAAAAAACCATGAAAATGCTTGAGGTATTATTATTTTATGTTGTGAAACAACTTAATTATTTAGAATGTGGTTTTATTTTTTCATGTGCAGCCAATCATATTCTATTATTAAAAACTGTTGCCATAGTTAAAAAAAAAAGATGTTCAACATATTTAGTCATTAGTTAACTATAAATTAAAAGCACAATGAGATACCAATACACTTTCATTAAAATGACTAAAATTAAAAACCTGGCTATACTAAATGTTTGTGAGGATGTGGAACAAGTATTCTGGAAATACAATTTTAGAAGTTTTATAAAAAGTTTCGTGTATATCTGCTCTTTCACTGCTAGGTATTTATCCAAGGGAAATGAAAGTATACACCTGACCAAAGGCTTGCACTTGACTGCTCATGGCAGCTTTATTTGTAATATATGAACCTGGAAATGAACCAAATTCCAACAACAGATGAACAGATAAACAAATTTTGCTATATCCATGAAATAAAATACTACTCACCAAGAAAAATGTATGCATAATTGACTCAAACAATAACCGATGAAGCTCAAAAAGATCGTGGTAAGAGAAAGCAGACTGAAAAGATTACATTCAGTAAGATTTCATTTATATAAAATTTCAGAATTTTATAGAGCTAATGTGTAGTGACAGAAAGTATTTCAGTATGTCAGGTTTTTAGGTGATGACTGGGTTGCAAAGGTGTGGAAGATTTTGAATTGATTTTGAAGTTGATAACTTCATATGTGTATACATTTGTAGCAATACCCCATTTTTTAAGTCTTTATATTATAAATTCTTAGAAGAGTAAGTGCTCAAAAAAAAAAGTTTTTATGAATAAGGGGGTAGGGAAAGG